GAAGATCAAGATCATTGCTCCCCCTGAGCGCAACTACTCCGTGTGGATTGGTGGTTCCATCCTGGCCTCCCTGTCCACCTTGCAGCAGATGTGGATCAGCAAGCAGGAGTACAACGAGTCTGGCCCCTCCATCGTCCTCCGTAAATGGTTCTAGGCGGACTGTTTAGTTGCGTTACACCCTTTCTTGATAAAAAAACCTAACTTGCGCAGAAAAAAAAACCAACCAAAGGATGAGAATTGGCATGGCTTTATTTGTTACTTTTTTAAATTTTTTAATTTTTTTTTGGCGCTTGACTCAGGATTTAAAAACTGGAACGGTGAGGGTGACAGCAGTTGGTGTGGAGCAAGAATCCCCCCAGTTCGCCAATGTGGCCCAGGACTTTGATTGTACATTGTTCTCTTTTTTTAAAATAGTCATTCCAAATAATCAACATGGCGATGTGACAGGAAGCTCCTGCCTTTCCAGAAGCCTCTCCCTTCCCCTAAGCAGAAGAGCCCCGTCCCTCACCCGGTCCACGCATGGACAGGGGTGGCAGGGAGCATTGCTTTTATGTAAATTATACCTTAACCAGGTTGGTTTTTTTTGTTAAAAAATCTTCCGCCTTAATACTTGTTCTTTAGTTTTTGTTTTTTTGTTTTTTTTTTAATAGTCAGCCATTAGTGGCCCTACTTTTTTGGGGCCCTTTCCCTTTCCCTCAGCTCCAGAAATATGAAGGCTTTTGGTCTCCCTGGGGTGACTGGGATGTGGAGGCAGCCAGGGCTTTACCTGTACACTGACTTGAGACCAGTTGAATAAAAGTACACACCTTAAAAAGTGGAAAAAAGAACAAAAACCACAAATATCGATTTTACACATTGACCTTATCTAATGCACTGCATAGGAATTAGATTCCTATGGAAGTGATCTGTTAGAGAAGTCATTGGAAATGATTGTTTAAGCTAAACATCAGCAGTCAAAACCAGGTAAGAACCAGACTCTGAAACAGATCATCAATTATGCATGTGAAAATTCAAATTGAGGCTGATGAAAATGAAACAAGTCCTTAAAAGCCAAAATATGACCTTGACTATATCACACCTGAATTTAATTTGTAGAATAGGTTTGAGGCATTAAACACTAATGATTGAAGACCTGATGTATGACATATATCATCCTTGAAGAGAGCAAAACTGTCCCTTTACTAAGACAGAGAAAACACCAAAATGGATGTTAGAAGTGACACTGAAAATTGTACTGGAGCATCGAGAAGCCAAAACAAAGGGAAAGGATGCTGAATTAAAAGAGCTAGACAGATGATTTCAAAGGGTATTTCGAGAAGACAGAGAAAAGTATTAGAATATGCAGAGACTTGGAATTGGAGAATAAAAAGAGAACATGTTTGGCATTTCTCAAGTGGAAAGAACTGAAAAATTCAAACCTCAAGTTGCAATACTGGGAGATGATATGGGTAAAATCTTACATGGTCCAGGAAGCATTAAAAGAACATGGAGGGAATACACAAAGTCATTGTACCAGAAAGAATAGTTTAACACTGAAATATTGCTGGAAATAGCATATGATCAAGAGCCAATGGTGATAAAGAAAGAATTTCATGCTGCACTGAAGGGACTGGCAAAAAAAAATGTCCTTGGAATCAAAGGAATACCAATTCACATGTTTTAACTAACAGATGCAGCCCTGCATACGATCACCAGTCTATGCCAGGAAATTTGGAAGACCAACTGACTGGAAGAGATCCTTATTTGTTCCCATTCCCAAGAAAATTGATCCAACCAAATGCAGAAATTATTGAACAACACGTGCAATAATTAATAACACATGCAAACAATGTAGCGCTGAAGATCATCCAAAAACAGCTAAAGGAGTACATTTACAGAGAATGACCAGATTAAAACTGAGTTTAGAATAAACCATAGCACCAGGAATATTATGGCTGATGTCAATTACATCCTGGCTGAAAGTAAAAAATACCAGAAAGATGTGTATTTGTGCTTTATTTACTATGCAAAAGTATCTGACTGTATGGTTCTTAACAAATTATGGCTAGCATTGAGAAAAATGGGAATCACAGAGCATTTAATTGTGCTCATGCAAAACCTATACCTAGATCATGCCTAGAGTTCCCTTGCTCTGTCGAACTTCTTGGTCTATATGAATACATTTTGCATGAGCACAATTAAATGTTCTAAAATTCCCCTTCTTACCAGTATTAGCCATAATTTTTATGAACCACAATGTCAAATGTCTTTACATAGTCAATAAAACACCAGTAAAATCTTGATACTGTCTACTTTCAGCCAAGATCCATCTGACTTCAGCCGTGATACTTTGACGCCTCATGCAATAGCAGCATGAATTTCTGGCAGTTCCCTGTGTTATTCCATACTTTTAAAAAATAATCTTTAAATGATATTTGCCATTACTTACTATGCATCTGAGAGCTGGACAATGACTAAGGATGACAGAAGAAGATTTGATGCCTTTGAAATATGATATTGAGGAAGAGTGCTAAAGATCCCATGGACTGGCACAGCCAGAGTGCTCCTTGGAGGCAAGGATGATTAGGCTTCATCTCAACATATTTTTGAAATGTTGCTAGGAGAGATTATTCCTTGGAGAAGGTATCATCCTTGGGAAGGTGGAGGGATGGTGAAGAAGAGGAAGACCCTCAACCAGATGGATCGACATGCTGACTGAAGTAATGGGCTTGATTGTGTCAGAGATTATGAGGATGGTACAGGATAGGACAGTGTTCAGATAGGTTGTTCATAGGGTCGTTATGAGTCCTATTTGACAAGCTATTTGCATCTGAAAGTTGGATAATGAATTACAAAAGAAGAATTAGTGTCTTTGAAATGTGGTGTTGAGTAAGAGTGCTGATTGCCAAAAGAACAAACAAGTCTATTTTGGAGGAAGTACAGCCAGGATACTCTTTTGAGGCAAGCATAGCAAAACTTCATCTTACATACTTTTGGCATGTTGTCAGAAAGATCAAGTCTTTGGAAAAGGACATTATATTTGGAAAGGTGGAGGTCAGAGAAAGAAAAAGAAGGCACAGTAGGTTCGAGTATATCAGAGATGATGAGGATGTTGTAGGATAGGACAAGGTTCGGATCTCTTGTTGACAGGGTTATTATAAGTCAAAATTGACCCGAAGGCACCAAACAACAGCATGCAGAGATAGAATCCTACCACGTCTTTCTTTTTGACCTTCTTGTTGTCCTGTGCTTTTGAGTCAATTATGACTCAGCAGTTCTTTGAATAACCAATTTGGACACTGTCCTGTCCTGTGCCATCCTCAAAATCTCTGAGACCCTGAAGTCCATTACCATAGTCATGGTTGCAACCCATCTGGTCGAAGGTCTTTTTCTCTTCTCCACCTTCCCAAGCATAATGTCATTCTCCAAGGAATAACCTAGCAACATGCCCAAAGTATGGGAGATGATGCTTTATCATCTTTGCACCCAGATTACTCTGGCTGCACCTTCTTTACTACTTATCTGTTTGTTCTTTTGACAGTCCATGGGATCTTCAGAACTCTTCTCCAACACCACAGTTCAAAGATGTTAATTCTTCTTCTGTCATCCTTAGTTGTTGTCCATGCCCTGAAACAGATATACCGTAGTCCTCAAACTGACATCATTGCTCCTCAGTAATTTGGAGGGGTTCCTGACTGCTGATACCAAGTATATTGATTGTGGGTCCAACTAAGATGAAGTTGTAGACAGTCTCAAGACTTACTCTGTCCATCAGGATGTTACCTGTTGGTCCAGTGGCAAGGATTTTTTTTTCCCCGTGATGGCGAGATGCAATCCATATTGAAGGCTGAAGTGTGTTACTTACTGTAGCAGTGTTTCAAATGTTTTGTGAAAAATGCTAAAGCTGTTTTACCTTTTTAATCTTAGGCAAGTCATTTAACCTCTGGACTAGTTTCCTTAGGTGTAAAATGAGAATGTCAGTGAAAATAAGAATCTCACTCATCTCTCACTGCTTTCCAGTTTGAACTAATAGCTGACACTCCTCAGGGTTATCAAAGGCTGTAAATGGCAAGGGAGGATATTGCTTATCTTTTTTTTTTTCCTGGAAAACTGCTGGTATGTTCAAACTGACAGATAGGTTAGGCCTTTGGGTTAGCAGCACAACTACCTGTGAACCACAACACCAGAGCTTTCTTAAAAATAATAAAAAATACCAGCAACAGCTATTCATCTCATTTCACAGCATTAATTTAAAGATTAGGTATGATAAATGCTATTGAAAGTGAATACCTGTCTCTATGATTATTGTTATATTGATAGCTATCTGTCTCTCTGCTTTATCTATTGTTGTTATATGTTGACTGTGACTCACAGCAACCTTTTCAACAATGGTTTTAAAAACTGTTCTGTCCCATGCCTTCATCATCCTCTCTGGCATACTTGAGCCCATTGCCACAGTTACTGTTTCAATCTGTCTCTTCGAGGGTTTTCCTTTCTTAATACTGACCCTCCACCTTTCCCAGCATGAGGTCCTTTTCCAAGGACTGTCTCTACCAAACATGCCCAAAGTATGTGAGGTGTACTTTCTCTAAGACATGTTTGTTCTTTTGGTAATTCTTGGGATATTCAGTACTCTTATTCCAACACCACAACTCCAAGGCATCCATTCTTGTTCTGTTGTCCTTAGGCTATTCTGATGCATAGCAAGTAATTGAGAAGGCCATCGTATGGATTAGGCACATCTTAGTCTTTAAACTGACATTACTGCTCTCTAGTACTCTGGAGACTTCTCTGACAGCACTTTTAGATGAGGATAAGATGTTTCAATAACCTCAATTGTGCATTTCCAACATTTGAATATCTGTCCTTTCAACATTATATAAGAAGTATTCTAATAGGAATAGGATTAAGAAGTTTCTTGAAGATTGATGATTTAAAGGTTATTTTTTCTTTTCATGGAGAAATGTAGGTATTTACTAGACACTTTACTAAGAAATTTAAATTCTGTTTCCTGCCATTAGGTATTAATATTAACCGAGGTCTCCTGTGCTTGGGAAATGTAATCAGTGCTCTTGGAGATGACAAAAAGGGTGGCTTTGTACCCTACAGAGATTCCAAGTTAACTCGATTGCTTCAAGGTAAGCCAACATGCCTCTGAAAAGAAGAAATTAATAGCACCGAGAAATGATGGGCAGTTTAAAATAAAAACAACTCAGATATCTGGATTATTACATAACTAACTGTCTAATTGGTAAATAGGAAAGCTATATTGTCAAACAAGCTTCTAAGATAATGAAAAAATTATCTTGAGTGCCAAGAAATCTGTAATGTGTCACCTGTACTTAATACTTTTACCTGTAAATGAATTTAGCTACTTTTTCTTTTTTATTGTTGTTTTTTATTTATTAATTTACAATTTTAAAATTTGAGTGGATGTTTACAAATTATATTGATTTTTCATATGATCATTCATATACATTTTGCCACTGATTAGTTATGCTTTATTTGTTAGTCCTGCTAAGCAGGACTCTATGTAGAGTTGGAACATACATAAAGTAGGCATCTTAAGAATATCAGATCCCAATAAAACTCATTGCCTTCAATTTGGAACAAACTCATAGTTGACTCTCCCTTTGGTTTCCAAGGCTATAAATTACATTTGTAGGAAGTTGTCCATTTTTCTCCCTCATAGTAACTGGTGGATTTAGACTTGCAGAAAGGTGTTGTGAGTGGCTTAACAGCATAGCTCCTTATGGACTAGGCCAAGTAGACTCCTCATTTCTTTGGACCAGACCCTGGTGGTTTTATTCTGATTATTAACTGCTGAAGTAAGAATCTTTCTATAATGTGGCAGTGTAATAAGATTTTAAATTATATCATTTCATACATCAGATAACTTAGTGTTTTTATAATGATACAAATAGAAAATTGTAGGTATTTAATTTTTTTCCCTTATATTCTTGAGTATAAGTAGCCATTTTAAATAAACAGAGTTGCTTGCATTTTACTGTTGATTTCACTTCCTTTCACTGTTATTTTCCAGATTCTCTAGGAGGTAATAGCCATACTCTTATGATAGCCTGTGTGAGTCCTGCTGACTCCAACTTAGAGGAAACATTAAATACGCTTCGCTATGCTGACAGAGCAAGAAAAATCAAGAATAAACCTGTTATTAATATTGATCCTCAGACAGCTGAACTTAATCATCTTAAACAACAGGTATAAAGAACTAAAAGTTGGTGGGGGAAATTATAAATATGTGAGCAGAGTAGTAACACTTCTGTTTCTCAGTTTTTCCACTCTCTGAAGTTAAGAGATGTTAAATAAGCATTATGTTTTGGAGACAGCTAAAAATAATTCTTATTAACATGTTTGTTGTTCATTTGAGATTGAGTAGGGTGTGGTGTAATTGGATATTTTACTGATAAAGAAATAAGTTTTGAAAAATGAGGCAAGAGAATAGGTATCAGCCAGTTTCTGAATATATTTGGAATTTAACCTGGAAGTTATAGGAAACTATTAAAGAATTTTCAGCAAAAAAGCTGACATACTGAAAAGTGTGTTTTAGGGAGATCTCTCTAGCAAGTATTAACAAAGTAGATTAGTGATGAGATGACTAGAAGAAAATAAATTAGGTTATTAATTTACAAACGATAATGTTAACTAAGGCTTGACCTAAAAGCGGAAGCAGTAAAGTTGGAGAGAAAAGAATAAATTAGGAAAAAAAATTCAGTATGAAAGTAGAATATGTCTGACCATATTTTCCAACTTAAGAAAATTCACTGCCACCAAGTTGATTTTGGCTTTTAGTCACAATATTGGACGGCATAAAACTACCACATTAGGGTTTACAGGTGTGTATATCTTTACAAAAACAGACTGTCACATCTTTATAGTAGTGACTGATATATACAAATAGTTGGACAATTTTAACCACTGTCCCCAGGGCTTCTTGTGTAGGATTTACTTAATAATAGATTTGGTATGAGAAAAGAAAGTGGGGTGAAATTAAGCTTGAATGACTGTTTTTCTGTTTGGACAGTCAAATAAATGTACCAACCACTGAATCAGTGAACATAAGAGAGAAAACAGGGTTGGGTAGGAAAATGGAAGTGAATAATTCAGTTATAGGCATTTTGAATTTAAAGTCTTAAGAGACTTCCAAGTGTTGCTTTTTGTTAGGTGCCATCAAGTCTAGTACAACTCATAGGTATCCTGTAAACAATCGATCTGAACCCTATACTCTTTCCAAGACATATCTGATTGCTCTTTTGGCAGCTCATGGGATATTCAGTATTTTCCAATACCACAGCTCAAAGGCATCAATTCTTCTGTCATCCAATTCTCAGAGGTACAGCAAGTGATTGAAAAGACCATGGCCCGAATCAGGGATACCTTAGTCCTCACACTGATATCATTGTTCCTCAGTAATTTGGAGAAGTAAGTTGAAGAGAGAATACAACCCTGACACACACTTGTTTTTATTTTAAACAATGTAGTGTTTCCTTGCTCTGTTCACATAGCAGCCTCTTGGTCTAAGTATATGTTTGAGCACAATTAAGTGTTCTAGGATTCCCATTCTTCTCAATGTTAGCCATAATTTTCTTTATGATTCACATAGTCTTGCATGTTATATTAATGATACTGCTCAATAGTTTCCACATTCTGTTGTGTACCTGTTTTGGAAATGGGAAAAATACCAATTTCTTCCAGTCAGTCAGCCAGCTGTCCTTCAAATTTCCTGACATAGAATGGTGAGCACTCCAGGGCTGCAATCTGTCATTTGAAACATGTCAGTTGATGTCCCATTGATTCCTCGGGCCTTATTTTTTGCCAATACCTTCATTTAGTGCACAAATCTAAGTAGCAATGTTCAAAATGTAGCATGCTAAAGTAGAAAGGAGGTGTATTTGGATATGGAAAACATTTAGATAGTATATGAAATTATGGGATGGATGAGATCAAAGTGTACACAACATATTAAAGACATTTAGTATTTGGTGACAGGGTAGTACGGAGTTGCAAAGGCCACCTGAAGGCATAAATGTAGAATCCTCTAGCTGCTCCATGGGAGAAAGCTGGGCAATCTTTCCCCTTGTGATGTACTACCCTCTGAAGGAGCAGCTATGAGATGGTTCTGACTTGACAGCACATGACAAAAAGTATTTGCCAAGTGAATAAATAGTGAAATGAAAGCTAAAGACAGAATTCTGGGGAGAACCAGTATTTAAGGAATAAAGAAGGAAGAGAAGACATCAAGAGAGACGAAGAAGGAGAAAACAACTAGAAAAGAAAACTAGAGGTGTCATAGAAACCACCAAGGGTCTTAAGTTTCCAATAGGGTATTTAAAACTAATTTTACCAAGAAGTGTAAAGTAACATTAAGATTGAAAATCATCAGCCAATAAGAAGTGGGTGCCAGCTGGCAGCTCAGTTGGGTTCAGCAGAGTACATATATATTACCATACAGGCAACAAAACGTTCATAGTGGTGGGCAGGAAGATTCAGGACCATGAGGTTGTGATAAATTGTGCCATTCCTAAGGGGTTGAAGTACCATCAAGCTACACAGACTTTCCACCAGTGGCGAGATGCTAGACAGGTGTACGGGCTCAACTTTGGCAGCAAAGAGGATGCAATGTTTTCACAAGTGCCATGATGCACGAGAATTGTTAAATTCACAGGAAACAGGGCCAACATTGCCTAGACAAAACTTAAAGCTAGGTGCAAAATTGCCCAACACAGGAAGAGTTAGAAATTTAAAGAAGATAATTACAAGAGCAGCAGGGACACAAGGAATTGGAGCAGGAAAGACTGGAGAGAGAATGAATGGAAAGGGAAAGTTTGGAAAGGAAAAAGAGCAGCTGGAGAGAGATAAGAGAGGAAGCAGCAGAAACAGTTGGAATGGGAGCACAGGAGAAAGAGGATCCAGTGCTGGCATTATGTTGGAATCACCTGTACCTCCTCCACCACTTTCTCTGTGTTCCTGCCAGACTGCAGCAGCACTTCCTCTCCACCCTGACCCCCTTCACCTCCACCACTTCCATTCTCAGGACCTCCACCCCTTCTTCCAAAACCAAAATCCTTCCCTCCCTCACAACCTCTTGCCCCTCCCCTCCCTGCATTTGGATTTTTTTTGGGATCCATTTTGTCAGATGGCAGTCATCCTTTAACTGGGCTTGCAGCTACAATTGCTTGAGCAAAACTTAGGAAAGTGTCACGGGTGGAAGATGCCTCTTTCCCAAGCGGAGGGAACACTGATAGTTAATTCTGCCTCATCCAAAACAGAAATGGGTCATGGAAATGGACCCCTTCCTTTAGCGGGTAGTCATTTAATGGAAGAAATGAGTGCCCTGCTGGCCAGGAGGAGAAGGATTGAGGAAAAACAATTGATAATAGATACAGAAAAGAAAGAAGACAGAAGTGAAGATTCAGAGCCTGTAACTTCTAAGGCCTCTCTACAAGTACACTGGAACCAACAAGAAAACCTTGGCAAGGAACAATTACACTGAATGGCAGCAAGTCCCCTATTATCTCCAGACCACAGTCCAGTTGTATAGGAGTTCAGACAAGGGCTTGACTAAAACAGATTGAAGCAGGATATTTTTGACAAAATGAGAAAACAACAAAATTGAAAGAAGAACTCATTGATGCAATCATGCAGGAACTGAGCAAGTCAAATACGGCTTGGAGAAACACACTAAAGAGAGATAGGACTTTGATGTGGATAAATGAAATGCCTAGAAACAATAACCATTAACAAACCTCTGCATTTGTTGAGCTGGAAGAAGACTCTTGAAATACACAGTTGGAAGGAGGGAAATACCAACTAATTTTGGAAATCGTCAAACGCATCTCCCTGGCGATAGTTTCCCCTTCTTGTTGATGCATTTTTTTCTCACCTTTCAAACAGGCTGGAGAGGAGTCATGGAAGAGTTCTGTAACAGACAGTTATGCAGAAAAACTATTCTCAGGCAAGGTCACAGAAATTTTTTTCACGTCAAGAGGAAAATCTCTCGTTTTACTCAATCCATTGCTAAAATAAAGAAGAGAAAGACTTAAGAGGGTTTTCCCCCTCTCTCACTCTTTTCCAGAATGTGCTGTGAAGAATTTAGCAAACTATGCTATTGTATTATAAATGTTTTTCTCAGGTTTGTCTTCCCTCAGTGAATAACTGAGGTCAGCCTTTTATCGGTTAAGACCTTAAAATGTGGAACAAATGGAATAGTGTGTTTTCAGAGGACAATATTTATAAGAAAGTATCATGAAAATGGTGTGTTCAGCTTGAGGAACTTTAGAATGATAGGAAGTCTCTCAAATTAGCCTTCATACAAGTCTGTAGTTTAAAACAAAATTTGTCCAGAATGTAAAGATTTCTATGCCATCTTAAATTGTTACAATGCTTTGCCAAATCTTTGACTCCTATAGAACTCAAACTTATTATAGTTTTTATTTTTTCAGACTTCTGAATGTGGACATTTTTATAATGTAATTACAGTCACCACAAAATTAGGTTTTTAAATTGCAGAATGTAACGCATACCACACTAATGTAGTGGGTTATTCCAGGCCTTGTCCCAGAGAACACATTTTGTAGAATATAGGGAAATAGGAGGAAGGGAAAGAATAACATTTTCTTTTTCTTTTAAATCTTATTATTATTATTTTTTATTTTTATTTTGTGTGTTTTCATGAAACAACATATGAGCAAGAGCCTATGGTGATGAAAGAAGAAGTTCAGGCTGCTTTGAAGGAAATGGCAAAAAATAAGGCTCCAGGAATAGATGGTATACCAATTAACATATTTCAGTTAACAGATGCTGCCATGGACATGCTCACCAAGTTGTGCCAAGAAATCTGGAGAACAACTACTTGGCCAACTGACTGGAAGAGATCGATATTTGTTCCTATCCCAAAGAAAGGTGACCCAACAGAATGTGGAAACTACAAAACAATCTCACTGATTTCACATGCAACCAAGATTTTACTGAAGATTATCCAAAAACGACTGGAACAGCACATCAACAGAGAACTTCCAGAAGTCCAGGCTGGGTTTAGAAGGGGTCGTGGTACTAGAGATATTGTAGCTGATGTTAGATGGATCTTGGCTGAAAGCAGGGAATACCAAAGGAATGTCTATCTGTGTTTCATTGACTATTAAAAGGCATTTGACTGTGTAGATCATAACAAACTGTGGCTGACTCTGAGAAGAATGGGAATC